AGATCCCAATGGATTTGTACATATACTAGCCCTATTTGTGTTTTCCCAGCAAAAGCCCTATACGTAGAGATCATGCGCTGCCTCTTCCCAAAATATCTGATTATGCTTCTCCCATAATGTAAAGAGTCAGCTCATGGCGTACCTTCTCGAGTCTGCGCATTGGTGATCTGCAGGTCGCAGTCTGTGGCCTTGAGCCGTTCCCGGGCCATAATCTGCCTTTTAAGCTCGCTGAGAGTGATATGCAGCCCATCGAAAGTGACTGTATTATAGTCCAGTTTGGAAGAAAACTTATAGTGAACACACGACATTTTTTTGTTTTGATTTTTCTCTCTCTTTTTTTTGAACAAGTCTAAGCACGTATCAAGTTAAGAACAAAGAAAAAAAAACACAGGCCTGGTATAACAAAATGAAAGCGTCAACACTGAACACAGGAGGCTAAATCTGGTGACTTTAATGGGTAAACCTTCTGTATTATTCGCTGAAACACTGGACAAAGAAAGGACTAATATGGGGGAAAGGTTGAGCTCGCAGATGACGACACAGTCATTATTACTGGAAATGAAAAATAATCGAGCAGCGAGGCCAAAGCGCCATGGAGCGGCGCCGTGTGCCTCTTCAGTTCTTTAAAGTCCAAGAAAATACAACAAGGTGCCACCAAATCCAAGAGAGTCCATGCAGCACAATGTGAATATGTTACATGGGTAAATGAGGTTAAGTCCGTCGTGAATTGTCCTTGCTGGAAAACCCGGTCCGCCGCACTGCAGCTAGCAGCGGGCCTGGGGCTTCCCCAGTCCTCGCGGTAGTGTTTTGCCTTTTCGGTACAGTTTGTAATTTATAGAAACAAAACACCACCGAGCTCCACAAAAAGTCCACAAAACTGCGTGAAATGCTCCACGGCCAGTCCACAGGAGTCACACTACTGTTTAGACCCCTCCGAAAAGGTTAATCTTAAATCGAAATGTTCCGTGTAAATGTTAAGCTAATGTCAAGGCTAACATGCGACACCTCGAGATTAGCTAACGCAACTCAACACAACATGAAAGCAGGCCTAACAAAAGCTAACGGCTAACGCTGCTATTGCTGACAATGGTGTCACGGCTAAACTTTGGGGCAAAAATCCACCGTCTGCAGTCAGGACGAAAAGGTTCCACTTCACTCCACGGTTATGTCCCACCACAGAAAATAAAGTTTTGAATCCGGATGATTCTTCAGCGTAAATCCATTAAATCCATGTCGCTGATCACCGACGATCGTCTCCTCGCTGTTTCATCAAAATGGCGCTGGACGGAACCGGATGTCGCCAGTGTCTGCTTCTTCTTTGAGGCAACGAAAAGTCGCAGCTGCGGCGTTGCATTTTACTGCCACCCTCAGCTTTTATTGCTCAAAAAGTTAACTGAGTGAAACCCCACAATATCTGTGCACTAATCATTTAATTTTCGTATTATTGCGCTATATCACAAGAGCCTGTCGTCTCAAGACACTTTATATTTTAAGATAAAGAAAGACACCAAAAATAATATATAAAACCCCAAAACAACAACAATCACACTACCCCCTATGAGCTAGCACTTGGCGACAGTGGAAAGGAAAAAGTCACTTTAACAGAAAGAAATCTCTGGCCGAATCGGTCACCTGAGTAAGGAGTGAGGCGAGGAAGACGGGACAATAAAGATGGCTGGATGCTGGGCAACTGGTATTTGTAGATGGATGGATTTTGTGTTTTAAATTGTAACTTTAACTGATTGTTAGTTGATGGCAATTATACATTAGTGCACTAAAGTTTTATTGATAATTAATATACATTTTGGTTATATTACATGTATTTCAATTCATTTTAAAGCAATGTCATTTAAAACAAAATAACCATTTCATATGTCTATGGAAACCTGTTTCAGTCACTAAAAAAAAGTCACATCCTTACACTGTACAATTAATTTGTTAGAAATAATATTAAATAATGTAAAATGAAGTTAAAACTCACTTTCAGCACAAATGTGTGATCCCATTTACCATCCATCCTCTCGAGAATCAGTTGTTTTTGTCTTTATTGTATAAAACTGTAAAGTATTTTTTATACAATATATTCTATGCAGCAAGGAGATGTTTCAGAGATTTCTTTTAAATTTTGTACTTCTAATTTTAAGATACCTAGCTTGACATTTTGCAAAAATAACCTTTTAATTTAGATTTACCTTTACAGGGAATTTTTTTTTTAATTTATTCATTTGTTTTGTTTGTTCAGTGGTGGAAAAATATCAGATCCTGATGACTTTAAGCAGTACCTTTATTTTGCTGATTCATCCCATTTCCTGTAAAACACAGTAGAGATGTTTTTGTGCTTCAGGTCTTCATAAATAACCAATGATGTCCGGCTACGAATGCTAGTGTTAAAGAGGAAAGGCAAGTGGTTACATTTTTGGGATGTTGTTGTAAAGTCTGAAGGAAACTGAAACATATTACACATACATTACAGCAAGTTGTGATCTTAATATAGTAGTGACTGGAAGTTCCCATTTCAATGAGAGAAAAGCAGCGACTTCACAAAGCTTGCTGCTCTATTTATAACCCATTCTTTAATTAAGAGCCTTGAGTGCACCTCCTCAGAGAAAAGTAGTAGGAAAAAAAAGTTGGTTCATCAGTTCTTTTGATATGCCAAACATTTTAGTGACTTTTAGCGCACTCCTTTGGTTTTACAGATTGTGATCAAACTTGTTGTTTCGTTTAATTTAATCAGCAGACAAAACCAACCAATCCAGCTATAATGTTACTCGGCTCTCACTTCCACAGTTATATATAAAAATTGGTCTGCTGAAATTTTCAATAGATTCTTGTCCATTCTTGACTCTTGACTTTTTTACCATGTGCAAAAGTTTTCTGTAGAGTATTGCCCAAGAAATGTAAATCTTGATGTTAGCTGGCCTGATGTTATCAGTCTCTTTGGCTTCTCCTTGCACACACAGCAGGCTGGTCTCTGCTGGTAATTTATTCATTAACTTAACTTTTGTTTGCTTAGTAACTAAATCATATTGAAGCTTTCTGATTAGAGGCTCCAGTCTGTTTGAGGCATTAGTTTGAATCCTTTGTTTGCAATTTTTTTTTTTTTTTTTTTTTTTTTACTTTCAGTAAAAATATTTGAAATACTTAAATACTTCCATGTGGATCCTTGGACAGTAGACTCTGTGCACTGTAGTAGCGATAAATAGCTTGTGGAACTGAAACAGTAGCCGAAGTAGTCAGTTGTGCTTTCAGGTAATTTCTTGTGTGAGCGTATTCATAACCTTCCTTGAATTCTAGCCTGAATCCCGTTGCTGCCATGGTAACACCTGAGGTTTCTCAGACGTGTGTCTGTTTGTGCTGCCTTGCCATCAGATGTAACGGAGCTAATTCATGCATGTTCAGGCACAATAAGGCCCTGATATTACTCAGCACAGGAGAGGTCACTTCTTTTTGATAAACTGTTTTTGTTTATCAGTATTGTTCAAACCTTTGCTTCTGTGCTGAGTTGTGTATGAATATTCTCTTAGTTTCTCTTGCAAATACAGATGCCAGAAACTGAGATGTCCTGTACAATTTTAATTTCAGCCTTGAACCAGCTCATTTCTCTTTGAAGCACCTTTTGGCATAAGTGGCATAACCATGAGGGCAGACCCTTTCAGTGCGCTTATGCACGCTCACATGCTACAAAAACTCACTCAGCCACACAATTAGACACATGGAGAGGCAGAGAGAGTTCGAATGCACTTAATGGGGTTTCGATCTTCTGCAATAGGTCCACAAAAAATGAGGCTACAGGAACAGGACATTCATTCATTCATTCTCAGTTGCTTTCATGCGTTTTGTATTTTCTGTAAATGTTTCTATTTCCTCACGGGCACCTCTCCCTTTCTGTCTCTCTCTCTGACTGACTATTACTACACACACACTCACATAAACTGAGACAAATCTATTTTTTAAAAGTTCAGTTTTTCTTTGCTTTGATTTTTTCCTCCGAATGTCAAATATACAGATTAGCTGGTTGCTTGAACTGAAACGACAAGTGAATTAACTGCACAACATTCTGCAACTATTTAAATAATCGATGGACCATTTTTAACATTGTTCCAGTAAAAAACGACAAGGTCTCTCTGATTTCAACATCTCAAACAGCTTTATTTTCTTGCTTTGTTTCATCAGGAGATGCAATCATTAAGTTCTGCGGTGCCAGCTTGTGAACCATAACCTGATTTAAATGTGACACATCTTCTCTATAGGACATGTCTTTGGGCAGTGCTGCCAGCCTACAGCTCCTATTTTAAACCCTTCCCTGCACGCCCTGTTCTGACCACTTCAACTTTTCTTTCAACAGTGCATGTTGGATCTCCTCCACCATGTCAAAATGCTGACCCCTTAGCTTATATATTATTATGTGAAAGATTAAAAAGTTGCAGCTAGTTACAAATTGAAGACTGGAAGCAACCAGTTTAGGTTGATTCCACCAGATATACTGTATTGGACGCTTCAGGTTTTACAGTAGAGCTTCGCACTGAAGTTCTCATCCCGGATTCCATTCTGAATTAGTGCAAGCCCCTGCAAATACCAGAATTTAACATGCACATCTTTGGACTATTGGAGGAAACCTGAGCACTCAGAGTCACAGGGACAACATGCAAACTCTGCAGAGAAAGGCCCCAGCCAGTGGATTCAAACCCAGGACCTTTTTCTGTGCAAACCACTGAACCACATAATGCACCGCCCATTTAATTCCAGAGCTGCAGAAGGAGCAGACTTGAAGGGGAGATTGGCTAAATTTAAACCAGACATGGTTTCTGGTTTTAATGGTTGGAGTAACTGACTTTCTGATTGCACCCCAAGTTATATCCTGGTGTTGGACTGTTGGACTGACTCTGGGAGATTGTAATAGCAGTTTTTCCACTATTTCTTGACATATGACTGGCTGAAGAGTTCATAAAAAAATATTTGGCAGGCTAAGCCCTGCACTTGTCTACAATGTCTTTCTTTTGCAAGCAAGAACATGAGAAAGCTTATTCTCCTCCCACTAAAGTTCAGCCTTACAGGGACTCTCTTCTTAGACAGGTGTGGTCCTCCTGTTGGAAGCGCAGTTTCCAGGCAGCATCTCTGTGTTGTTGTGAGCAGCTGCAGCTGTTAAATGATCCACAGCCATGTCTATCTTACTGTTTTTGAGAGGCGAGGGTAAAGCGTAGAGCATGAACTCTGAGCCCACTGACACTGGTTTTGGCAAACCTGCCATGGTGGTGACTTTAGATTCAGCGGAGATGGACGGCTCCCGGTCACGGCTGAGTGATGCTCGGAAGGAGGGCGGGTCCCCTGCGCTGTGGTTGCTCCTGTAACTGTACCGGCGGCTGCGGTTCTGATAGTAACGGTTGCGGTAATACGATGAGCTTCGAGAGATGGGCGGCTTCATGAGCGAAGGCCGGCCATTAGTGCGCAGCTGTCTGTGTTTTTCTATGAACACATGCACTGCCAGGACGCCCACCATCTCAGCCAGCACAAAGGACAGAGCTCCGAAATAAAAGGACCAGCCATAGGAGTAGCTCTTCTTGTTGTCGCTCTGGCTGGGGTCACCTGAGTTGGCTGATATGTACACAATGATGCCAATGATGTTACTGAGACCTGCAGTAGTGTTCATAGAGATGAAGAGGGTCAGTCAGATGTTTATTTGTGGAGGGATTTTTGCAGTTGACTGACATGCTACACGCTATGGAGGACTAAAAGTGCAAAAATGTATATTTAATTAGTTAAATTAAAAAAATTAAAGACACCAGTTAAATGCACCAGAAATAACAATAATGGTTAAAAAATGCTGAATGAATGCAATAATTAATTAAATATGATACCAATTCTTGTTTCTATTTGATTTTTTGATTTTTTTTTGTATTTTTGTTACCTTTAAATTAATTTCCATTAATTTCCATTATTTTATTTTATTGTGTTTTTTTTTTTAATTTGTTTTATTTCCTTTTGCTGTTAATATTACTTTTGATGAATTTAATGATAGAGAATTATTGAGTCGTTCAATCATTATTTCTTTTTGGCCCTTTTGATCCTCCATACAAACAAGAAAGTACAACCATTAAAACACCTGAAGAAAAGAATTTTTTTTAAAAAAAGATAAAATACCAGAAAGACTAATGTAGAAAAACATAATTAATAATAAAAAAAAAGGGGGGGGATATACATAAAATCTAACATCACTGACTAAAGCTTTTAATTCTGTGTTTCAGAATTAATAAGGGACTGAATGAAGAGTCACAATAATAATCATGCTGCTGAAACAACTCTGTGTGTCTGACCTGCAGAGACAAAGAGTATACCCGCAGTGAGAATGACATTATAGCGTGACTTGTAGAACTCGCTGGCAGCTACGCAGACACCCCCTAGAAATAATAACCCCACACTGAGGATGGGGAAGAGGCTGGAGGCTCGTACCGCTCCTGTGCAGAGGACAGGAGAACGAGGGTATTAAGACACCACGCAGATACCTCACACTGTCATCACAGCTGTTAAAAGTTCATGCAATTATTTGATACCCACGCAGTAAGTATTCAGCAGCGTCCTGCTCGTAGTCTGCATCGTCAGGAAAGTGATCAATGTCCTTGCAAACACCCCGAAATGTCCCTGAAAACAGAAAATCAGACAATTACATCATTTTGTAACAAAAGTGGCTCAGCTTTGTCATTTCCCCCTGTCTCCCTCTTCTTCTGTACTTGATGCAAATGTAAAATAAGCACAGGTATCTTCTCAGGTCGGTTTTTACTCATCCTGTCCACCTTCTAACCGTTTAACATGAATCAGTGCCCTCTTGTGGCCCTTTACTGTGTTTATATTGTGGTTGTGAGTTATGAGCATGCCCAAAGAGTCACTTTATGGCTTCATTTGTTCAGCCTATCAGATTTTAAACCTGGAAGACACAATGTTGCAGTGGCTGTCCACACTCACTCATGTCATGTGATCACTTTTAGTTTTAGCTTGTCTCATTACTGTGTGTTTTTCTGCTTTTGTGTTTCTTATTACCTGCAGAGGGATCACAGATGTAAAGTCTTGCATGTCAGCATTGTTATATAACAATTTTAGACTGATGTACAGTAGAGTTTTGTGTTAATGTCATCTTAATTTTAACAAATATTATTTTGCACAAAACTGTCTCCACAGAAAAAAAGAAGGGGGTATTTTTAATGACACTGCTGCCTCAGGAAAAGCACAAAGCTTAAAATGACCTGGGGTCTGAATTAGCTGCTTGTCCAAGCCTCTTCAGTGCTGTTCCTGAACACTGAGCGCCTCAAGTTGTGCTCATACTTATATCAAATCTTCTCTCTTATATTTCTACGCTGGCTGTTTTCCCTGCACGTGGGTGTCATACGCTCAAGTGAAAAGACAAATATTCCACTATGGCTCAACGCTACTGTATATGGCACAGAAAGATAATAACCCTCGTAAGCCGTGAAGGCTCTGATGCATTATAATGATGTCTGGAAATACAAACATCAGCCTTTCTAACCTTTGGCCGCGAGATGCCTTTTAGTATTTGCGCACACAGGATCATATTGACAAATGTGTCCCTGTGAGCCCGCCCTGATTGACCAGTATTGATGATGTGGCTCGGTCCCCATGGTTACCAAAACAAAACTCATTCATTAACAACAGATAAGCTGCGGCGAATAGGGCTGAGAGAAAAGATGTGAGGTGTAAAGTTATTCAAATTATTGTCACATTAGAAACAAGAAATCAGATCATCTGTCCCCATCTGGCTCAACAACAAATTTGTCTCTGAGCGCTTTTTTCGTGCATCACGATTATCTTCATCTATCTGCCTGTTTATGGCTTTTTTTTTGCAATGCAGGCTATCTGACCAACACTCACTCACATCAGACTGTTAAAGCACTGAAGACCTTTGCATGCTCTGTTTCCTCTCCATTAAACCTTTTTTAGGTTGGCTTGGTTTTACGGGCGGCAGGGGCAGCAGCAGAGGGAGGCGATGCAAGGGAAGTGAGGAGGAAATCGAAAAGCCAAGCATTTTCTCTTCATTCAGAAACTTAGCAAAGCAAAACAGAACCAAGGATATAGGGTAAGAGAAGTATTGGTAGTGCTATTAAAGAGAAATGAATAATTAAAAATGTCATTTCTATCCATCATATAGCCAGGGCTAAACCTTCTCTATAGTCTTCTTTAAGATGTGTCCTCATGACTCCAGCAAACAATCAAAATCTAATCACAGAAGCATCGAAGTGCAAAGATGAGATGTCTGTAACAACAAGCCTTTTTCCTCTGAATGATTTCTGTGTTTAAGAGTTTAATGAAGCTATAAAAAAAAGGAGAGATGGCCTCAGGTGTATTTTAAATGGCTGAGTTTGTCTGCAAAGAGTCTTTAATGAAATCTTGGTGAAGTCTAGTCAAGATCAAATATTTAAAAAAGCCTGAAACAATATTTGTTATTACGTATGAGGAAATCTAACATTTTTACTTTATTATTTACCAACTAACTACAAATTTAAATGTATGTACCAAACATTTGTTATATGTACAGTGGTATCATCTGCACAGTGCAAGTAAAAGATAGTTTTCAAATAATAGTCACATATTTATAGTTACAATCACTATAACAGGGTATTTTTATGTCGGATTTCTACTTTTCGTGATACAGAATATAAATACTCCACTGAACTGTTGAGTGCAGAACATTTTCAGGTCTGTAATACTATTACTATGTTGTAATACTTTGTAATACTATTACTATGTTGTAATACTTTGTAATACTATTACTATGTAGCTGCTGTTGTATGATTTATCGATGTAGCAATTATCACCCGATAGAGAAACATGATGCACATCTTTGGTTATTTAATCAGCCCGTTAGAGGCCTGCTTGTAAGAACCGACAGTGTTATTGCTATTTAATATCGAGTTGCCCATTTATATCCCATTTAACTTATTAGATTAACAAGTCATAGTCACATAAACACACCATAGTGCATATTTACTATGTTTAGATTGACCATTTTTGTTGTGTTTCACTCTGGGCTGTTTTATAAGCTTCTAATGTGAAACCACATGCAGGTGTAGTGTGACTCCCACCCTCCGTGCAGCAGGTCCTCCACAGACCGGAGTGGGTCAGGACCTCTTCGTTCTTGCGGACCGTCTCGTTGTCGCTCAGCGTCTTAGAGCGGCACACCCCTCGGGAGTACAGCCAATAGTCCGTTCCCACGGCGATGGTCATGAGGCTGAAGGCACAGAAAGCCCCTGCTGTGGTCAGAAGCATCATCACACCCCGGTTAAACACCCTCATGTCTCCTCCTCCCTCTGAGGACCGAGTCTGGCAGAGTTTAGAGGTTGTTCAAAACTTTCCCTCTGTGTCTGATCTTTGAGTTGATCCAGGAAGGAAACTCCGAGCACATCTTCTGCCGCCCCATTTTCCTCTAAACTAGAAAACTTTGCTCACAAAGATGTTTCCATGTTAAAGGCACAGAAGCTTGATGTCATCTTGTTGGCTGTGCAGAACAAGTGAAGAAACGGCGCTGAAAGTTGGAAGAAATGGCATCAGCGGCACGTTTCTCGACTCGTTCTAGTTTGTTGTAGCCCAACTCTGCACGGCTCAGTCTGCAGAATGACCCCGCCTGTCTGATTGTATGTGTGTGTGTGCGTTTGTCCGTGTGTGTGTGTGTCCCTGTCACTAAGAATAGCACAGGCCTCATGCAAACCAGTTCATAGTCCAACAGGTCAGCACCATGGAGAGCAGCAAGAGAGCAGAAAGTGGTGCGCATTATTTTCTGGCAAAGACACAATAAAACCTTTAGCTCAGCCTAAAAACACTTCAATATAAAACTGCAAAAAGGCAGCTTTACATTTTAAATTCAGTCTTAAAGTGGAGATAAGTGCCCGTGAACACTACAGCAGAGCTTCTTTGGTCTCTCTCCTCTTTAGCCTATAGGATGCAGCATCCATGTTTTTGAAAAAATATAAAAATTAATCTGTAAATTTTGATTAATCTGACCAGAGAACTGTTTTCCACTTTGCCTCAGTGCATTTTAAGTGAGTGTCGGTTCTGAAAAGATGGAGACGTTTCTGGATCATGCTCACATGTGGCTTCTTCTTTGTATGATTGAGCTTTAAGCAGCATTACTGGATTATAAAATGAACTGTGTTCACAGATGTCGCTTTCAGGAAGTGTTCCTGAGCCCATGCAGGAATTTTAATGTCATTCCTGTTTTGATTTCAGTGCTGCTTGAGGGCTCAAAGATCACAGGCATCCAATATCGATTTTCCGCCTTGTCTCCTGCACACGGCAAGATTTCCTCCAGATTCTCAGACTCTTTTGATGATATTATGCAATGTAGATGATGAGATAAGTCTAAGTCTTCACAACCGTTCGCTGAGGAACGTTCTGAAACTCTTTGCAGATTGAACCTCTACCCATCTTTAGATCTGAGAAACTCTTCCTCTCTACGATTTCCTTTTTATACCCAATCGTCTTACTGACCTGTTTCCAGTTAACCTAATTAACTGCAAAAGATTTCCTTTTAGAACCACTTACTTTTCCAGCCTTTTGTTCCCCAACTCCTCTGAGACATGTTGTTGCAATCAAAATTTTAACAGCAAATTTTCTCAATTCAAACATTTGATGTGTTTTCCATTTTATATTGTGACTAAAATATGAGATTTACGCAATGACGGAAGTCACACACTCCTTTCAAATTTAGGATCTAAATTCACCTCTTATATAAAGTCTTGGTCATTATTACAGTCATGGTAAAAAGAAGAGCACAAACTGTCAGTTTTTAGATTTTACATATGAGGATATGAGAAGGAAAATAATTTTTTAAAAAAATTAAATACAACCTCAAACAAACAAGAACACATGACATATTACACTGTGTAGTTATTTTACTAAAATTAAGCCATAACTTTAGAAGCACTCTGTGGGAAGAAAACTTATAAGCGTAAGGAGCGGCCAGGTGCTGCTAATCAAATGCACTTGATTAAACGATCATCAACAAGTGCGAACACTTCTACCAAAGCAGACGTTTGGCAGCCTGCTGCTCTGGAGCATCAGCAATGATGTTAGAGAAGCATCTGTGACTGTCTATCAATCTGGGAAGGGTCATAAGGAAGAGGTTAGCAAAGAAAAAGTTGGATAATTAGGGAGAAGGAGTTCTGGGAGGCTAGGTGTACAGCAAAGAGAGAGGTGACAAAGGCAAAGGAAAAGGCTTGTAGTGAGTTGTGAGGCTGGACACTAAGAAAGGGAGAGGCAGAGAAAAGATGTGATAGGGATGGAAATGTATTAAGAAGTGAAGAGAGTGTGTTGAGAAGGTGGAAGGTGTGCGTTGAGGGTTTCATGAATAAAGTAAAAGAGGAGGATAAATGTAGGATAGCAAAAAGTGCAGACAGAATGGAGAGGAGTGTCAGGGGTGTATCCTGACAGAAGGATAAAGAGTAAAAGGGAAGTTCAGGTTGAGCTGTTTGGAGACAAAGTTAAAGAGGGAAGTTTAGACCTGTGAAGAGGTGGGATGGTCGATGTTTAAGAATCAGGGGAGGGTCATGATGTAATGAAGGAGGACGGGCAGAGGATTGGTGTGACAGAGGACCCCCTAAAGGGAACAACTGAAAGATGCAGCAGCCACATTTGGTGAAAACCAATCAGCACAAACATCTCATATCACCCGTCAAGCACGGTGGTGGAGGAGTGAGGATTTGGGCTTGTTTTGCAGCATCAGGACTCAGGCACCTTTCTAGTTATTGAATCAACCATGAACTTCTCTGCGTACTAAAGTATTCTAGACTCAAATGCGAGGCCATCGGTCTGATAGCTAAAGCTCGACTGAAATCAAGATCTCCAACAGGACAATGATCCAGTGAAAATGAAAAAGTATACTTTCTCTGTGCCATGACTGTATGTACGCTGTATGTATAACCAATAATGCATAATCAGGTAGAACAGAACTCTCATGGGGCTTTTTCTTTGGCCAGGTTTACTCATTACATGTCCTTTAATATTAATATTGTCATCAGTATTCACTCCACAAGCATATCATACAAGTGATTAAAAGAATAAATGAGGATGTGACTATTTAAGGCTTTGCAAAGTGAGTGGCCATGTGTGTGAAGAAGCAAAAGCAATCGACCCCAACCAACAAGCTTCCTCGCTGTAAAATGTTTTGTTATGATCAATCACCGTTCCAGCTTCTCGACTAAACTGCACATTATTATATATATGTCATTGGTGAACTTGCACAGCAGGCCTTTGAACACAGTGTTTCTGTTGAGAAGTTAAATGTGCACATTTAATAAGCATTAATAATAGTTTCCAAGGAGCTGTAAGCAGAATCGGGCTGTGATCCTCTGCAGATTCATCAGTCCAAGCGACTTATTTCATGTTCTCACAGAGCCACTTGATACTTATTATCACTACAACTATAGAACTGCTCATTATAGCCGCTTTAATTTCAAGAATACAATACAGATTTAAAAATCTGTATCGCTTTCGAGAACAATCCCTCCTCTCCATCGCAGACATAATATGCATCTCGCTAAGAAATGAAGCACGATCACAAGATTGTCTTTGATATTTTTTGTGTAAAATGGAGTTAAAAGAGGCAAAAAAAAAAGGAGAAAAACACAAGAGAGCCAGAGTTTCTGGAATGTTTTATGATAATTCATTTTAATGCATCTTTCTGCAGGTGTCTCTCACGCGCAGGTAAACACAGCGCATGCAACACATGTACACTGTCCATTTACACAATCCCTTGGTTGCTTAATAAAAGTTGCCCACTTCCTCCTCCTCCTGCCTTTTTGCATAGTTAACACTTTACTGCCCCATCTTTTGCCCTCCCTCTGTCTTTCTCGTCTT